GAACATAAGAATAACCAAATGTTCCATCATTAAAATTAATACATTCATATCTGTTTAATTCATTTGATTCATTAAATTTAGTAGAACAATAATCATTTACATCAGTTTCAAAAAATATTTTTTTTTTTGTTTTTCTTCAGGTGAAAGTTGTTAAACTTATTCAGAAATTTGATTCTTATTTTAATAACTTTTTCAAGTTATTATGTTTGTTACAAAAATGAATTTTGAGTATCTATTTTTCAAATTGAACATAAGAATTAGTTTTACGATTTTCTAAACATAGATAAATTAGTAATATCGAATAGATGATAAAAACTGTCTTACCATGTAATCCTTATCATTTTTTATTTATTTTTCTTTTGATAATTCTTATAACTACAAAGAACCAACAGATATTTATCTTTTTTTTATAATTGTATTCTTAAATTTGATGCACAAATCCATTGTATAACATTAATGTAAATAAAATACATTGACAATCATTCATTACATTTGTGTAATGTAATAACCGATGTGACTATTAAGTGTATTAGTACACCTTATTCTATAGATAAACCAATATTTTAAACATTAGGAACTATTCGATATTAGGTATATTGTTAAAGAATTTAAGTGATGACCATGTGTTAACTTCATTAATTATAATAATATTTTTAACAAATATATAAATTTTGAGAAAAATGAAATAGTTGTTCTATAAGTAATGAGTAGGTAGGTTAAAAAAAAAAAGTTGTATTTTTAAAATAGGTTTGTTTGTGTCTTGTTTTGCTAATAAATTAGCTTGATTGTAAAATAAATTTGTAAAATGAGATTTAACTTAATTAAGATTAATATTTTTAGTTGTTTTTAAAGAGTTAATTATAAACAGAATGACCCAGTTTTTTTGTTGGATTAATTTGGTTGGAATAAATAAAGTAATATTTTTGATAGCTGTTAGATTGTTGATATAGATATTAAATTAGATATTAAAGAACATAGCAAGTAAGATAGATATGATTGACATTAATTTTATATGAGTAAAATCAGAATAGGGTTGAGTTACTGCATTGAATTTAATTAAAGTATTTTCTTTACAGATCCATCTAATACCAGACCTTATAGAAGGTGTTTTTAGGTTTTAAATAGAAGCATTTGTATAGAAGTTGAGTTCAGTTAGATGTAAATTTTGTAAAATAAAGTTGAGGTTAATAAGTTGATTTTAATAGTTGATTGAGTTAGTAGTTTGTTGTATAAGTTGAATATCATGAGTGTATAAATTTATTTGGGAAGGTAATTGGTTAGAGAGTAGTATAGTGAAATTGGTTGATATGTAGATTAGAGCCAAAATTTCTTTGTAGTCAATTTGTTGAATAAAGATGTTATTGTAAGTTTTAATTTAATAATAAGGAAGATTAAAGCAGTTAAAATTTGTTAGTAATAGTAATGTAATTGGTTTTAGATGGATTTGGTTTGTAGAGTAATTGTCTATAGCATAGTATAAAGGATGTTAAATATTATTATATTGTAAAAAGATAATGTTAGAGTTATTTGTATAGTATAATTGAAAAAATGAAAAGTATTAAAAATTAGATAGTGTATAAAAAAGATTTAAAGAGTTTAAAAATGAGTTGATAATTGGTAAATTTAGATGAGGTCAAATGGCAGAGATTGTATTATTATATACAGTTTGTTGAATTAGAGAAACCAAGAAGGTTGATGACCTTTTGTTGATTTGTTTGTTTGTAGATATATATTGCTTTAGAAAAAAAAATAAAAATTATTAACAATGGTGATTTGTTTAATATAAAGGATTTTATTGTTTTTAAGGCTATTGAGTATTGAGATAAATAGGTTTAAAGAGAGTATGTCATATATTAGATAGGAATTAGTTGGTTGTATTGTAGTGTTATTTAAAATTTGTGTAATATTAGAAAGTGTGATATTGTTTTTTGCAAGTTGTAAAAAATAGAATATTAAAGTATAGTTATATGTTTTATGATAGTGTTTAATAAGTATATTAGTTAATAATTCAGGATACCATATTTTGGTCAACCATGATTTAATGCAAATAGTTTCAATATTGTGAAGAAGTATATTGGAGTTAAAAATATATTCAATATTTGATGCATTGACTTTTTGAATAATATTGTTAAATGTTGAAAGATTGAAGATAAGCAGGTTGGTCAAGGTAATATTGTTGGTATTTCTTGCTAGAGAGAGCATCTTTTTTGTTTGAATAGAAAGTAATCTTGAAAGATTGGTTTAATTTGATATATTAATGATAGTAATTTGAAGAAGATATTCAAATAAAGGTTGTAGAACAAGATTGAAAAGAGAAAATATTTGTGATAGTAAAAGTTTTTTGTATTTGATAAGTTGAAAAAAGTTTTTGATTTTGTTCTTGATCATGTTCATAGTAGGTTTAGTTGTATTATTTCTATCATAATATATTCCAAGATACCTAATTATATCTTTAGGTTTTCTTGGTACAATTGGTTAGTTGTTAAATGATAAAGGAAAGAAGAATATGTTATAAGATTTTTGATATATATATAGTAGATCTGATTTATTTGAATTGATTTCAATGTTATTAAGTTGATATAATAGGAATGTATCATTAAGAATATTTTGTAGAGTTTGTAGATCTTCACAGTGCCATACTGTGTGTCATCTATAAAGGCTAGGGGAGGTATGATAATAGAAGTAGAATTGTTGTTTTGTATAAGATCTTTTGGTAATAATAAAGATATATAGAGTAGTTGATTGTGATATTTTTGCAAAATAAAAGATAGAATAGGATCATAGTATATTTTCCATAATAATGAAGAATATGTTTCTTTTTGTTCTATATCAGATTTTAGATAAACTGAATTTAAGAGTTCATAAGCTGTGATAACTTTTGCAATTTAGTTTGTATGTAGTTCTATGATTAGATCTATTTCTTTTTTTAAAATGCCAATTCTTTTACAAGAGTTCTGAAGTCAGAGAATATTAATTTTATCAAATGCTTTTGACATATCTTGAAAGAAAATCCAGAATTCTTTATTATAAAGTTTGTAGTATTCAATTGTGTTGTGAAGAATTTGAATAGGAATGTGAAGAGATAAGTTTTTGGTTGCAATTAAATTGAGATTTGAGAGTAGGTTATTAGATGAAATGATTTTGTTTAAGTGTTGAATAAAGATTTTTGTAAAGGTTTTTTTAAAAGGTTCAATGATAGATATTAAATGAACTTGATTAAAAATAAAATTCCAGTTGAATTTTTTTGAAATTGGAAAGAGATTTGAAGATTTCTAGACAATAGGTACTTTTTGTAGCTAAAAGTATTTGTTTATAAATTGTTGAAAAAGTTTTTGGGATTGAGAGCTATCATATTTGATATATTCATAGCAAATCTCAGAGGGACCTGCAGTTTTTAAATTTAGTAAGTTAGTAATAGTATTATTCTGTTATTTCTTTGAAAAAGGGTTTGATAATGAATTTCAAGTTCAGAATACAGTTGATATAATTCATCAAATTCAAAGAATAAGGAAATGAAAGGTAGATATTTTTTATTAAAGTATTCAGTAAAGTGTTATTAAATTGCAGAACAGATTTCATTATAATTTGTTAGGAGTATATTATTTAGTAATAGTCAATCTATATGTAGGCTATGTTGTTTTTCTATAATTTTTTTATAGAAGAGTTTGGAAGAGTTTGTAAAAAGTTGATTACATTCTTTTATTTTTTGTTTAATATCTTTGTAAATTGTTTGTTGTTGATAATAATTAAGAGCAGTTTTAACTTGAATAAATTTATTTTTGATTTGATCAAGAGAAGGTAATATTGTTTGTAAAGAATTGTTGAGATAGTCTAATTAGTATTTTTGAAATAAAGAGTGATAGTTTAAAAAGTTAAAGTAGTTTTTTAGATGTTAAATTTGTTTGTATTAATAGAATAGAAGTGGTAGTTTAGAAGAAAGGTTGTTATTAATTTCAGACATAGTTTTAATATTTTTAAAAAGAATGTGTTTTGTTATAGCTTTGGTTAAAGCTTTGTTAATTTTGTTCTATATAAGATTAAGTTGGTTTTAATTAGTTATAGAAGTAATCTAAAAGGCATTTGGTAATATGTTATAGGTAGTTTGGTTTGCATAATTTTCCAAAATTTCTTTAGTATTATTTTTCAAAAGAAAACATCTTCTTTTTTGTTGTTTAGTTAGTTTTAGTTTGTTAAGAATAGTAGATATTTCAGTTGTAATTAAATAGTAATCTGAGTCTAGTTGATGTGTAGTAATTATATCTGTGTAATCAATATTTGTTAAAGATAGATTAGACCAAATTTGGTTAATTCTATTTTGTATATTTAATTATGAAATATGTAATTTTTGATTCAAAAAAGAAGAATTGATAAAGGTTTTTGTATTGGTAACTAATTAGAAATTTAGTTAATTGTAGTTTAGAAATTAAGGTTATTTAAAAAGTAGTTAGTCAATGTGAGTGTTTGAAATACTGTTAAAGTATCTTATGATTATTATTTTGTAATTTGGATTTTATACCAAGGAAATGATATAATTATAAACATCTTTGTAAAGTTGTTTCTTTTTAGCTATAGGAATGTAAATCTGAAGTAATCTTAGTAAAAGATTTTTGAGATGTAGATCAAGTTCAACAACATGTTCTTGATAGTTATAAGTGCAAGCAATGTATTTGAAGATGTTTTTATGAATAAAAATACTAACATCTGCTTAGTGTGTATTTGAATAGAAGCTTCAAATACTTGTATAATTTTTTTTTGAGTATTAAAAATTTTTTTAGTTTTAATTGATAAATGTGTTTACGATATACCTAGTATATTGAAAGAGTTGTTGTTTAAAAATTTACTAAGGAGAGTTTTTTTAAAGATTGGATCAAACTATTGATGTTTATAGAGCCTATTTTAATTAGAATCAAGATGTGATCAATGTTAATAGTATTAAGATTAGAGATATTATTTACAGGAGTATTTGTATTTGTGAGAAAGAGATATTAGTATTAGGTGTATCAGAGTTGAGATTTGTATCTAGGTTTAGATTTTCTGAAATTAAAGTGTTGTTTTCTTTTTGTATTAATAAAATAGATAGTTTAGTAGTAGGAAAGATGTTGTTTAACAGGAATTTTTGATATACTTGAGAAGAGGGTATTGTAAATATTGTTACTAGGTAATTTGTTTTAAGTAAAATATTTTGAAAGTTTAAGAGTTCTTTAAAGAGAATGTATAAATAGTTTAATAATAATGTAGTCTTTTGTAGAATGTAAATATGTGCTTTTACATGAATACTGTTAATTGGTTTAATAAATATTTTAATATATTGTTCTGAGAAATATATTAAATATTTTCCTTAAATAAATTTTAGAAAGGATCCTATTAATTGTAAAGATAGTAACAGTTAAAGGTTGTGTAAGGATAGGAATTTGTTAAAGCATGTTAAGAGATTATATATTTTGAGTAGGTTAGAAATATAAGTTAGAGTTTTCTTTTTAATAGTGTTTATTATTGATAAATCAAGAAAATTATTATCTGATAATGATTCATAGTTGTTATTAGTAGTATTTAGGTTTGTATGTTGTTGAATAGAGGATGGAGTGCTAATAAACATAGTTGGTATATAGGAATATATAAATGTAGTAAATAATAAATTATTTTAAAAAAGGTCTTAGAAGGATGTAATGTATTAGTATCTAAAAAGTTAGAAGTTTCTTTTATAGATGTGCTCACTATATACTCAGTTTTCACAGTTGCAGAAGCTACCATCATCTGACCTGTATGTTGGGTCTGATCATCATTAACCTGGTCCTTCATGTAAATAGGCTTTTCTGCCTGCCTATTTACATCATTCTCTTTCAAAAATAGTACACTTTTAGTGAAAGACATTATTATTTTGAAAATGATAACTGTATTTATGTTATCTATAGAAACATTTATTAAAAAAGTGAACTATAGGTAATAGTTTTGAAGACATGAAGAGAGTGTCATCCTGTATTAAAGGGATTTTAATATCATAATGTTTAATGACAAATTTTTTCACTTCTAGAAGGTACTTAAGATCATAATCAAGTTGGATTTGAAAGATAGAGAATTTGGTTAACTTTGGATATAAAAATAGAAAATTATTCATGCTAGGATATATGGACTAATAGTAGATATAATAATTTTTCCTAAAGTTTTGTTTAGTTCAAGGTCTAAAATACTGTTATTTTTAGCTGCAGTATTTAGATAATCTTTAAGATAAGAATAAAGATAAAATGCAGTTCATTTGGGATTGGTCTTTGAATTGTTAATTTTAGCAAACTTTTGGTCTGTTTTAAGTACAAGTTCATTAAATATATGGAATAGAATAGTTTTTTTGAAGGTTGCTATATATGTTGGTTTGGTTGGAAGATTGCATAGTCTGGAGTAAATGATGTAGTTTAGAGGTTGAGTTGTCTTTTGGAGGCACTGGGAAGGTTTCAAAGAATTTGATTAACATTATTAATAGACAGTATCATTGTTTTTATCAGCTATTGTTGCTTTATTATTCTCTAAATTGCTCACTATAAGAAATTATTTTAATTCTCAATATAACTAAAATAAAAGTTAGGTTTACAGAAAAGACAAAATTACTTTTCAATACTTTCACAAATTTAACTTTATATACTATATTCTAATTAACTTATAATTATTCAAATATCTTAAATTCACAAAAATACTGATTACATAGTTCATACTCTCATTAATGACCATATTATTAATTACTTAAATTATTTCATTCTTATTAAATAATCAATAACTACATTAATTAACCAAATTACCATATACTTTTGTTTACTAAATTGATCATCAATTGAATATGTAATCATAATTAGGCCTATCAAATGTTCAATTAAGTATCATATGATTTGAGACAAAAGCTGTTCCAATACTACATATCAAGTAGCTCTTTAATCTTATTTACTACAAGCAATACAATACATTTTCAAAAACTTAATATATTAAAAATTTTTATAGATTTTATTTTTTTAATTTAAAATACTAACAACATCAAATTCTCTTTTTCTTTCAGATTCTTATTATTCAGTCTTTATTAAACTCTTTTAATGCTAACTTCTAAATAATAACAATATTAACAAACTTTATATTTCTTTTTTACAATATAATTATTATATGTATTAATATAATTATTTTTTATTATATTATCTTACTTATATATAAGCATATTAATATAAATAACCATACTGCAGTAAATTTATGAAATACCTCTAAAATTTAAAAAATTTGATTACTAATATGTAAATATAAATTTTGACTGAGATAATCAACATTTTCAAGTTGTAATATGTCATTTTAATAAATTTTATGTTTAATAAGATGCATCAGAAATGAGAAAAATGGGTTAGCATGTGGGAAAGATAGGTTAGACAGGTTATCAGTATAGATCAGAGGTTCAAAAAATTTTTTCAAGGTTTACATTTATAGTTTAATATGTTAATTTGGCAACTAATATTTAAATCTGAGGAACAAATGCTTGGTTTTGATAACCAAAGTTTAATGAAATTTTATAAATTTACCATGATGAATAATTTATTATATTTTTAAATAAACTACATATTATACTTTATAGATTCTTTATAAAGTACTTATACAATCTAGGTTAAAACTCACCTATATTTGTATAAGTATAACAAATCTAAGTGAGTTTTAAACACTCTAGTAGGTTTAAGTTGCAGATAAATTAGTTAGATATTCTTTTTATAGTCTGAGCTTCATTTTTGTAATAAATTTGTAATTAGACTATATCCAGAAAAGCCCCTGGAGGCATCTTCTACAAATTAATAAAGATATGAACAAAACCTCACCTAAATATTAAAATAAATCAAAATAAAAATAAAAAATTTATTTACTTTTTTTTGGTATTACAAAGTAATAATAAGTAATGGTGTCAAAAATGTCAACCCGCTAAATTCACATGCCCAATGACCATTTGAAGTTTGTAATTGTTTAAAAAATTCGAATCCATTTTGAGCTGCTTCGAAAGCTATTTTTGGTTTTTCAAAAGTTTTGGATTGCTTTTCAAATTAAATCGGGATTAAAGATGCTATTAATAAAAAATTTTATTGCCAATCTGGTAAAAATTTTTCGCATAATTCTTTTTTCAAGACTTACAAAAGGTAATCCAATCCAATACTTTTCAATGGAGGATTGATGATAATTTTTAATATCATTTTCATCTAAATAATGCCATGTCTGTCTTCCATTATCGTCAACTTTTAGTCTCCACCTAGTTAAGTACGTTTTTTCCATACAGGTTATTATCCATTTGACTCATTTCAAATAATTGCAACTTTTAATTAAATTCGAATTTTAACGAGATTTTATATTATCCTGTAAATTTCGAGTACGCAAAACTTAATAAGCAACCATTTTATAAATGTCTTATTTCATAAACAATTAATTAATAGTCAAATCTATTTAAAGACAATTTATTTCATATGCTATATTCTATCAAAGATTGTCAAAGAAATGATTGCTGCCAAAGGAAACCTCTAATCTGGCTTTTTGTTATAATATCAGCTGATTTGCATGTTTTATTAGTTCAATCAATGCAATTTAGTAGAAAATCTCTTCTATGTTCAGATATATAATTGGAAGTTTCACTTGATGGCACTCAAATGAAATGCCTGCAAAATGAACTATGAAATAAGCTCTCAGAATTAGTTGTCTTTAAAATAAACTTGAATATAAAAGGAAATCTGAAACTTAGAGCGATTGACTTACAAAAAATTTATCAACAATAGAATGATTTATTTATGTCAAAGATTGCAATATGAAACTAGAAAGGAAATCCCGAGGTTTACATATTTATTGTAAATCTAATTGTATGCGGAGATAGGCAAATTTCCGATTTTTAATCTACTGCACAAGTGTCGAAATAGTACCCGAGCAATCTATAGATAAGTAAGATTTTTTGGTTGCTTTTTTTTTGCAGGTGTACGTATCATTTCATAGATATTTTATTTCATAGTGTAATCGATACACTGCAATCATTTCTAACTCCCTTTAAGCAACTCAAGCGACTAGTTTTTAGCAATAAATAAATTTGGTTAGAAAAGTAAAATGCACATTTCTTTATTTTATATTTACATGAAAAAATTAATTTTTTTTAGTTTTATTTCCAAATAATTAAATAAAAAAACGTACTAAAAAGTAATTACCAATTTGTATAAAAATTTTTGAATAAATGTATTTTGTTCTTCTTAACAAGGTTACTTAGTTCGTAAAGGTCAATTTAATTAATAAAATTTGACTTTCTATATAGAAACTATATACAATCGTATATGGATGTGATTATAAAAAGGTAAAATCGGTTAACAAATTCTAAAAAAATGTAAAGTGATTATAAGCTATTGTGATTATATTAAGGGTTTTAATAACAAAATAAATGGTAACATAATATTGTGTAATTATGTAGAGTTTGTGATCGTATGGAAGTAATTATATAGAGGGTTTGCTGTAAACTGAATACAACGTAAAAATGTTAGGCCTAATATAATAGCTATCCTAATCACAAATCACTTAAAAATTAATATTATACTACTTAATTTTAATAATTTACTCTTGAAACCAATAGATCAATTCCGGGAAGAGGTTTAGCTACGCTCACATACTTTACTCCAAATGTAAAACCTTCAACTAATTTAAACTCTAAATTTCTAATAATCACTGCTAATATAGTTTTAACTTCTAAAATTCCCATTTTTATTCCCACACAAGTTCTTGGACCGGTACTAAAAGGTATGAAATTATAACTGGTTGTATTTGATGTTATTCCTGGATTGAGCCACCGAGATGGGTTAAAATATTCAGTGTCATCACCCCAAATTGAGGGATCATGATGGATTGCGTAGATGGAGATAAACAATGGTGTGTTCTAAAAATTTTTAAAGTTATATGAAATATGATTTATCAAATAAATTTTACTATGTAAAATCATTTAAGAAAATACCTTTGGAATAAAGTAACCATTAAACATTTCGTCTTTTGTATTAGTACGAGAGAGTACAGGCACTTTAATTCATATAAATTGGAGTTATAATAAAGTAGATAATTAATAATTTCAAAATATAAAGAGATATTGAACTTTACCAGGCGGCATGAATCTTAAAACTTCCTTAACGGTACAATCTAAAAATTTCAATTGTTCAATTTGATCAAAAGTTGGATGATAATCACGATCAGGGA